CTCTCAGGTTATTTGCTGCTAGTTCACAGCACAATAGGAAGAGTCACCATTACTGTAAACTGACCCGTTACATCTATGCATCCATAAGCACCCATTTAGTATAGGACTGGATGGGTGGATGAAACCCAGAGTAACATGGGGATGGCATAAGAAAACTCCCCCCTTGACACATGAAGCCAGGCCAGGGGATGAAGGCTGTCGGAGCTGATGGTCTGCCCCCCCCCCATTACCCTTTGAGAAAAAGGCCTCTAACCAGCTATCCGGCACAGGGTCACAGCCATGTGTGAATAACAAACTACACAAAGAATGCAAAACAGCTTAATCCGTTTTCACCGCAAAGGTAAAAAGAGGAATTAGGAGCCTCAAAACAAAAAGACAAGGATAATGTCAGAGTTCTTATTTATTTGTTATTTGTTTAATTTTTTTTCAGTCTTGGCCGGTCTCATGCCCTGTAACCACCTTGATAATACTCAAAATTTTAAAATTAATCTCAACATATTGGACGTATTGTGGAAAATCACCATAGCTTTCCCATTTGAAGTGGTTTCTCAAAATGGGGATTTTCTCTCTCTCTCTCTTTCTCTCTCTCTCTCTCACACACACATACACACACACACACATACACAGGTTTGTAATTATATCTTTGTGGGGACTCTCCATTCATTTCTATGGGGAAACTCTAATCCCAACATGACAACCTTAAACCCTACCCTGCCCTAACTGTTACCATAAGTAACCAAACAAAATATGAGACTTTTGGGAGTTTTAGTTTTTTGATTGCAGTCACAGTTATTTATAAAATTGAGTTTCAACTTGAGGGGACTGGAAAAATGTCCCCACAAGGTCAAAATAGCAGGTTTTTATCACATTGTTCCTCACAATCTAATATATACATGACCACACACACACACACACGAACAAACACCGGTTTGTAATTATATCTTTGTGGGGACATTTTTTTTAAGGGGGAAAGCTCTAATCCCAACATGACGACCTTAACCCCTACCCAGCCCTGACCTTAACCATAAGTAACCAAACAAAATACTTTGACTTTCGGCATTTTTACTGTTTTAATTGCATTCACAGATCTTTGTGGGAACCTGAAAATGGTCCCCACAATGTAAAAAAAATAAATAAAATATGTTTTTATTAAATTGTGGGGGACATTTGGTCCCCCACAATGTAATATAAACATAATCCACACACACACATGTCTGTGCTTTGTGTTCATGCCGACCCTGTACTGAATAAGTGATTGCGATGGTGGTTAAGCCAGTCAGGGAACCTCTACACGGCCTCTGTATTTGGCTGCTCCCATGTCCCCAACCCCCTAAGTGGCTGAAGCTTCTCATATCATGTAAATCTCTCCCTGCCAGCCAGATGCACTGCTACTAATTTCTCTTGGCTTAGTGACTGTTATTTTTATTTTATGTTTTATATACTGTTACCACCTCCTAACATCAAAATTCTGTTTAACATGTGTAATCATTTTTGGCCTTATGACCAAGTATGTGCTACCACCAGTCGGTCTGAAGGAGGTGTCAATGAACAAACAAACTGGGTCTTAGGACCGGCCGTTGTACATACAGACCTGAATTTTACATCCAATAACTGAGTTCAGTATATCCAGAACAAAACGCCCCATTAGCAGAAGTGGCATTTAGATTTTGCTTGAGATGCCAAAGCTCTAATTAGCCGTGCAAACTAGGAATGTTGATGTTCATGATTTGGTTGCAGACCGTGGGTGGTCACATGGCCGGTGACCTCGTCGTTTACAGTGCTGGTATAGCAACAGCTAATGAATGGGAGCTAGAAATGCAGAGCTGATTAAAGTTTGGCCTGGAGGCGGCGGCCAAGCGGGAGAGAGCGGCAGAAACAGAATACGAGGAAAATGTTTCAGTGACACTTTGAGAACTGTGAAATTTCCACCTGTGGTTTCAAACTGGTTTTTGAATGTTCTCTTTTGGGAGCCTGTGTGCAAAAGCCTTGGGTGAACAAAACCGAGATCAGGTGATGACAGAGGGGATATCAGAGGCCAAATCTGTCAGTAAATATCTGCTGTTTTGACAGCAGAACTGGGCAAAGTGGAAAAAAATGAAAAGTAAAAGCCTGTTTATCATTCACTCCATTACAGTACACAAAAGCTTAAGAATAAACAAACGTCTTGCTGGGCCCCTCGGTACGAATGGCTGCAATAAAAATATGCATTTTTGTGTTTATTATTTTCCTTAAATGATATTTTTACAGAGGTTGACTAGGGTGTATGTACATGAATAGATGTGAGCAAACAAAAGATTAAATGACTTCAGGGGGTTAAATGACTGTATGTATGTACATTTCATTATTGAAAATCATATGCATTTCCCAAGTGAAAGGTATGCCACATAAGGAATCCTGGCTTTACTACTGCCAGATGTTTGTTTAGTTAACATCTTGGAGGGGGGGTCGGCGGAGGGAAGCGACAATACCTGTATTTTGATAACAGTGTATTTTTTTCCATTACATAAACAACCACAGTTGTTAGCAGCTGTAGGAGAGTCCAAATTCCCCACCCTGAATATGGAATTTTAGTGTCTGCTGAGAGCCTGACATCTGAGATGGAGGGAGATGTTGAACCTTTGACAGGATTTAGAAACAGCTAAATATGCGAATTGTCTAAAGCAGTGTTTCCCAATCCCGACCTTGGGGACCCACAGACGTGAACTGTCAGCGGGTCCACGAGGACCAGATTGGAAAACACTGATCTAAAGGTACAATGACTCTCCTTCACGATTTCCCCCCATAACTGCATCCCTCTTGCACTCAGAAAACACCCTGTGCTAGGTTTGGGGGTCACTGGGCCTGGAAGGTGACGTACGGTGGGCCCTCGTGTACTGCCAGGGATACCCTGGGCCAGGACTGTAACCGTATAGCCAGTGGAGCAGGCCAGGCCTGCCAGACAAGGCTGGGGGGGGGGGCACATCAGGGGCCTGGCAGGAAGATCAAAGCCCGGCGTCAGGCCCTGATGCTAAACACTGCTGATATACCGTGTAGGGAGGGTGGGCGATGTTCAGATTGCACCGAAATGTTAAGGTGGCGTCATGCTACGCACAAACCGCCGATGCAGACCCGCTCTGAACGAGATTCTGCAATATCGTTATTATTTCATTCCACGCCGTCGCTATGATGGAGCAAGGAATTTAGCTAAAGCAGCTTTTCCCAACTCATTCCTTTTTGGAAAAACATGGACTGTCTGGCAGGGAGCTGGGAGGGAGCAAAAACGTGGACTGTCTGGCAGGGAGCTGGGAGGGAGCAAAAACGTGGACTGTCTGGCAGGGAGCTGGGAGGGAGCAAAAACGTGGACTGACTGGCAGGGAGCTGGGAGGGAGCAAAAACGTGGACTGTCTGGCAGGGAGCTGGGAGGCAGCAAAAACGTGGACTGTCTGGCAGGGAGCTGGGAGGGAGCAAAAATGTGGACTGTCTGGCAGGGAGCTGGGAGGGAGCAAAAATGTGGACTGTCTGGCAGGGAGCTGGGAGGGAGCAAAAATGTGGACTGTCTGGGGGTCCCCGAGGAAATACTGAGCTAAAGCATTGATCTGGCCTTATTTTAAATATTCGGGAAATAAATGCCACTGAAACGGAGAATCTAATCCTAATGTATTCAGAGTTGGGGCCAATTTAGCTACTGGCCGAAGCTGTCACTGTCGCTCAGTGCCATTGGGCCATTTCAGCCGCCAAACCAAATGTTAATGAACCAGCTAATGAAGTGCATCTCTGAAGGATTGGACAATGCGCCTAATCAGAGCTCAGACCATCCTAACAATGGCTGGAATATGCATGTTATTCAGAGAGGTCAGAATACATTACATCACAGCCTGATGTTCCACAGACACCACAATTACTCAGAATTTAAAAAGGGATTTCCTCCTTTCAGCTGAGAAATAATTATACCCATCTTTTAGAGTAATTATCTCGCT